CCCCGCCCGCCCCCCCCCCCCCCCCCCCCCCCCCCCCCCCCCCCCCCCCCCCCCCCCCCCCCCCCCCCCCCCCCCCCCCCCCCCCCCCCCCCCCCCCCTTATGCAGGCTACAAATAATACAGATGTGCGGAGAAGTATAAAAATGATTCTATTCTGATTTCGTCCAGGGTTGTGAGGGAATAGTACATAGGTATCATGAGGGTAATGGGGTTCGGGCGATTATGAAATGGGGCAGGGTGGCCCGGCTAATGCAGAGTTTAAGAGAGCCCGATTGGGGAAAGAACACAAAAGAAATCAAAAGGCACCGGTCTTTCCAAGACATATATGCAATCCAAGATGGCAGTCAACGCACCGGGTTTACCGGAAGCGGAATGACTTGTGGGCCAAGGGAGAGGGAGGGGCTTGCCCCGTGGGAACATAAGTTGTTCGGGCACGGTGTTGTCGGGATGGTGTTTGAGCACAAAAGACACAGACATAGACGGAGGGCAGGTTTGCACGCTCCAATCCAACGCATCTAGTATGCAGCCAGTGTGTACACGATTCACTGGGAGAGTTAGTACAATCGACTTTGAAATCAAGGCCGATGGAGGAACTCACCATTGAATCATGAGATGGCCACCATTATCCATCGAGCGGCAGACACATCGTGTACCGTTACTGGGGTTGCTGTGACGCTCTGTGCCTGGGGTTGCAAGATCGGGGTCGGTCAAAGTCGTGGGAGAAGCATTGTGACGGGGATGTATGTCAAAATCACTGCCAAGGCGGGGTGGTGATGAGCGGAGATGAGTAAAGGTGTGTGATGACCGAGAAAGTCGGTTACCAAACGCGTTCGTGGATCTTGGTCCCCGGCCGCGTTCTTTGAGGACCTGTCGGAGCGCAGATTGAGCATCACCACTTTCGTCATCCTCTCCGGGTAACAAGTCTGATGCCACGCTACCCCGAGTATATGTCGAGTCCGAGTGCAGCAGAGACGAATGCCGTTTGGGTGTCCGCTTAATATCAGGAGATCCACGATACGTTGCTCGCCCACCTCCCATAGAAGAGCCAGCCCAGGGTGACATCCGACCCGAGTGTGATGAGCCGACGGTGGAAGCATAGGAGCCCTTTGAAAGAGGCCGGGAGCCCGAATCACTCCGGGATAGTGGACGCCTCGAGATATCATAAAGTGAAAATGACGACTGAGCGCGATGCAACACGGGATATTCCGAGAACTCAGCTGGATCTGATTCACTCTCGGTTGAAGAGCCATCCAGATCAATCCCAGTCAGGGGATCGGTCAACCCTGTGGGGGCCTCACTGAGGGGCTCCATTTCAGCCTTTGCACGGCCATCTCGTCCAATGCGAAGCACCACAGATGACGAGCGCGTCAAGGAGCCGGTGGCTGTCGAACTAGATCGTGTCAAGGGGGCTGGACGCATGGATTTTGCTGGAGACGAACGCCCTTTACTTGGGCTCTTTCGGATTCCGTTGGTGGATGCCATAAAGCCCCCGGCTTGACTGTGCGGCCGCGATGAGCTAGACATGCCATGGTGGGTCGCACTGCGGGTTAGAACTGGTCGTATTCCCCTGGGTGTGTAGTCGTCATCCTCCTCCTCGCTCTCGCCCGGGAAAACCGTGAAAGGATCGGATCGGTGGCTATTGGGTGCCTGTGCTCGGATAAGCTCCTCCCGCCTGGACTCTTCTGCCTGGTGGTGATAGGGCTGTCGAAGGCCACGAAGAGATCGTGTCTCTGGTGTAAGTTGAGGACCTCCGAATCTCCGAGCTGGGGAACTCAGAAACAGAGCTGGATCCTCAGCCTTGGTGACCGGGAGCCGGGGAGAGGTAGAGAATGGCTCAGGAAATAGGGCAGCATCGGTGGGTGGTGCTGACATTCCAAAACCGTTGCCAAAGTCTGGAGCATCAACTGAACCAATGGTTGGTAATTGGGGGATGTGTTGTGGGTAAACGGAAGTCTGACGAGCATTGAGATTATTCCCGTTGCTGGGCAAAGGAACCTCACTCGTATTGTCTAGATCATGATCCCAGAACAGTCGTTGCTGTGGGAAGAAAGGCGAGCCAGTGGGATCCAATGAAGCCAGCTGAAACAAATCGGGCGAGGATTGGAGGTTGCCAAACATCCGAGGAGATGCTCCAAGAAGACGACTGGGTGTTTCCAAATGACCTCCCATGCCCGGCGTTTCTCCTTGTGTCTGTCCATCGGGGTGATCCAACTCGGGGACTTTTCGTCTAGATGCACTTGTCGGCGGCGGGGTTTGCATCGAGGCTGCTGACTTGGCCGATCCCGTTGTCCGAGGGTAATCCTCGCCCATACTCGGCAGAGGCTTCACCGGGCAAATCCGTCTGGCCGTATCGGTCTGGTCCGAGGACCTCCCCCTGTAACCAGTAGTCTCCCCATTGTGACCTTTCAGTGAATTCGAGCCTAGACCAAACTTCTGCGGCGTGCGGAGGAGCTCCGGGCTGGAAGCATAAGGATCGGAGGTATCCCAAGTCACCCGGGGGTCAAAAAAGCTGGATTCGAGTTTCGGGGTGTGAAACGAGTCGAAGGTATTCGGAGTCCTCGTCGGAGTTTGAGGTTCACCGTTGGGATAGCTGAAGCTAAACATAAATGAATCCATGAGCGGTTTTGTCACATAGGCATACAGTACAGAATTGTAAAAATAAAAAGAATAGAGGACTACAATGTGATACCCCCACAAGGGGGTGTCATCAAGGGAGAATGCATACCTGTGGACAGGGTGATCCCAACTCATGTCAGCAACACAGACCCAGTAACCATTGAAGATCAAGCTGCCAGGCAACCTTAATTGATTGAGAATGACAGGAATTGGGGACAGCAGATAGGATCATTGGAGTTAATTCATATTGTGTGTTGGGTAGGTTGGCAAAGAGTAAGGGAAATGATATCGGAAGGAGAGTCGGAGGGGAGCGAAGGTGTTTTTTGGGATTTGCTCTGTTTGTCGGATTCCTTTTTTTTTCTTTCAGGGAAGAAATTTCGTTTTTCCTTTTATTCCTTTTTCTTCTTTTCTTTTTCTTTCTTTACGTGGAGACTCGAATTTATTAAATTTTTTCATTAGAATCCACTGATCCACAGCTTCGATGTTCCATTCGAAGTCCAGGGAGTATGGAATACAATGTATGTTGTGCTTCATGCAGGAACAAAAGAATGTGAATCATCTCATATATCATGTTCATACATCCAGCGCCTTGGAAGGTCAAAGTCAGACTCTCCCCTTGCCGATCTCGACCTATAATAGCAAGCCTGGGCGAGATTGAGCCGTCGGGGATGCCGGTCCAGCTCTGTTTAGGATCAAAGACCAATCTCACCAATGACGACATGTAAGATGTGGAGACTCCGGATATGATACATATCTTTGTACTTTCTATGGGGTCGATATTGGAGCTTAGAGCTTCATAGCTTTAGAATATCAGAATATCAGAATGTAATATTGGGATATCCCACTTTGAGAACCACCTCATGGATGAAAGGGGGAGGTCCGACGTGTTCAAGGGTGAATTAGGGTTTGGAGAGCTAAACCCCCTAGCAAACCTTCCTGGTATCTCTTTGTGCCCGAAGATTATATCAGCTACTCCATGTTCTTCCCTATACTCAGACTGGCTTTGACTCTTGTTGTCTATATTGTATACTCCGTACTCCGTACACTCGGACGGTGAATTGCCCAAAAGAGCTTAGCGTGCCTGTTCTGGTTTAGCGCGTCCCTGCACATTACTATCACAGTGCGTGGTTCCAAAGTACAACATATGTTATTGTCTTTTCAGATATCGTTTTTCCCTCCTCATTTTTATAGCTAGAGGATTTAAATGTATATCACTTTTGACTATACTTTTATTGAGCGGGCTCATTATATTCGGAGCTACGACTTCCTAATTAGGCTTAGTAGCTAACTCTCTTTCATCAGTCTTTCATCATTCAAGTCTTTCTGTCTCTACAATATCACCCTTTCTTTCTTATCATTCACTATGGCTTCATCTATTGACCTGCAAGAGCGCGCTCGCCTAAGAGACAAGTACAAGGAAGCAGTGGAATCCCTTATCCATAAGCTCAAGTCTCGGTCTAAGCCTACCTACACGTACACTGAGCTCGCTCAGTTCCGAGTGTCCGTCCAATCTATCGACCCGAAGATCATACATTCATAGATTCCGAAACTTGTTTCTTCCAGCCACTTACCCATGAAGAGCTTCGAAACATTCAAAATGGATAGAGAAGCACTTTCTGAGGTCGAGTCTCGCTGTATCAAGAAATTCGAGGATACGTTTTATGACGTGACAGATAGGATTCCTGAGGATTCCCAGATGTGGACGAGAGCTGATCAAATTGTATTCTATCTTGAGGTCTTGGAGTCACAGTCCGATAGGAAGAGGGGGAGATCGACCTCCTCCATACAGGACCTTTCGCATTGGCGTTATATTAAGTAAGTCTCGTTCTATAGTTACTTGATTACGATATTACTAATAGGCTATTGGGCCGAAGACTCTTTTAATAACTCTTTCTCTTCTCTCTCATAGAGTGCATCAATTCAAAATAACTAAGATAAAGAGAAGGAAAGAAGTAAGAAGCAAGTGCAGAAGTGGGAGAGGGCCTGCTTATATAGCCGGCACTCTGCAAACAACAAACATGCAAACAAACATAGCGATCGTAACATATCCCCCGCGCGAAATTCCATCTAGTCCCTAGATGCTAGACTAGCAATAGCAGCGTCGTAATCAAAATCATCTTCGTCATCAGCTTCGAGAGACTCAGATCTCGATCGTTTGTAGGAAGCTAACCTTCTACATATCTCTCTCACCGCTCCAAGATTATCCATTCGGATTAAATGTCCGAAATACCCCGAAGGAAAAGACTCTTGAAGCGCTTTGGAGCGACGATCATCCCTTTCTCAAGTATAGCCTCATGTAGGCTGTTTATCAATGAGGGCCAAATGCCAAGAGATGAAATGGCGGCACAATATTGCTTAATATTAATGGCGCCCAGTCTGCTCCTTACAGACCCCTTTGGTACGGTCCATATCGACTCCGTACATCGATGTGCCACTGTTGAGCCGCATCCCAAGCCCCAGGACTATATCCACCCCTCACCTCCGAAATGGTCCGGAATCAAGAACCAGGAGAGTCACCTGTGTCCCCTGTGAATTCAAATGAAATTGCTCAAAATGCGCCAGTCAAATAAGGCAGGATACAGGCATCCGCATTGGAAAACTAAGTTACTCGACAAAAGCTTAATAAGCAGTTCCGATATATCGCCCTAAAGCTAGACCTCGTTTTATTTTATAAAACCTAGCCCACTTTTCTCAGGCTCAAAAGTGCTCGTGTGGTAAGATATACTTCAAATCTTCTTATACGCCGCATGTAATTTACTGATTGAAAAAGATGATTTTGGAAAAGGATTCTTCTGTTCTGGGCTTTAAATGCAGATCATCACGGTGTCTGTAAGTATGAGAGCCCAGGAGATCCAAATTACATCATAGAGAGAAACGTACCCAAGTCAATAGTGAGATTATCGCGAAAGGCTATGCAAGCCGACTTGGAACAACAAGCCAGAGGAGTGTGCACGATATAAAAACGTGGCTAGCGATTCCTGAAATGCCTGACTTAGACTACCTCTTCTTTTAAAATCAATGGACTGAAGGGACCAACTTCTGGTTCCTTGAACAAAAGCCATATCTCAAGGCTCCTCTTCTTGTATACTTTGGGTAAATGGAGGGAAGGGTGGAGTGAAGTGGAAAGAACGACTGTGTTCTTTCCCATCCATAGATACACCCCGACGCCCAAACGGGCAGTAGCTTTCAACCTTAGAAGTTCCCCTCAACTCTCTCTCTCTCTTCTCTTCTCTCTCTTCTCTCTCATCTTTTCGTAATCACATAATATGAACAACGATACTCAAACCATTTTTTCCGAATTTTCGGATCCCCACCGACGATCGTTGATTGATCGTATCTGTGTCGCTGTCGGCAACCACAGGATCCCACGCGTGAAGGCGCTGGGTCTATGGTTCGCTGACATCAAGGCCCTGGAGGTCCTTGTAGGCCACGAGCGGAACCCACACATGCTTCGATACATGCTGGTTGATTTCTCCCAATACAATCTTCCGAGAATTTGTGCGTATTCACGAGGTCTGCCCTGCCCTTATATCACTGAACTAATATCTGTCATTTATTTAGGGGCTAGTGATGTACAAGCATCTCGCTCTGGCCAACCCAGGGTACTGGAAACCAGACCCGATATGGGCGCACGCGGCGAGAGGAGTGCCGCTGCTGACATATCGAGCCGACGCCCTGAACGTGGTGATCGTGGTAGATCTGGCTCTCCAGCACAAGCCAGTACCGCCGCTCGTTTACGGTCAGAGCCCAGAATCCCGGTGCCCCAGGCCAGTGGTCGGCGAAAGAGGATACTTGGTGACCCAGTGAGTTTGTCAGGAGTATTTATTATGGAACACTGCTGATCTCTTTGATTTCTAGACCGAGGAAAGCATTAGGGTGACAGTGACAGATCGTGAGGAAGCTAGATGCGTTCTGACCCGCCGTGGAGGACCATCGCTTGAGGTAGCCCATATTATACCGAATAGGATCAATAGGACCACGCGGGACGAGCACGATGGAAACAGCGTCTGGAACTTTCTTCGCACCTTCTGGTCCGAAGAAAAGGTCGATGCATGGGAGCAAGCCCTGATGCCAGGTGGTGTGCTAGTGAGCACTGAGCGGGTATGCAACCTGATCACGCTGGATCTCACAGCTCAGGATCAATGGGACCGCGGACTCATTGCATTCCGGCCAATTTCGGTCAACGAAGAAGAAACTGAAATGCGAATCGCATTTCATTGGCTTCCTTTCCGAAGCGCCACCATCGCTAGGAATGACCGAATGCCACCTGCCGCAGTCCGAGACATGGGTCCAGGAACTCCACCGTCCAGGAGCCCCGGGAGATTTAATTACTTTTTCGATATGGAAACTTTGGAAGTAATTAGCTCAGGGCATGTCTTCACGGTGAGAACTAACGACAAGGAGAAACAACCATTGCCTTCGATGGAACTTTTGGAGCTGAGATGGCACCTCTCCCGCATTGCTGCGATGCAGGGAGGAGCAGATGAGGATGATGACAGTGGTGACGATTCTGACGGTGGGTCCTTTTCAGTCCCATCAGGGTCGCGATCACCCGTCAAACGAGAGTGCATGCTTTGATAGAATGTGTCTCCTCGATCTCCCACCCGGTCAGTCTCACCCAAAAAGTTGCAAACTTTGCCTTTTAGGGGAAATCTCAGTTCCTTAATCGAAGAAGGCGATTTGTGATTGTCTTTGTCTTTCCATTGAAGGAGTGGCGAGCTTTGGCTTTGTCTTGTTCCTGAAGGGGTGATGAGATGGTCTATTCCTGAAAGGGTGGTGAGCTTCGGCTCGTCTTGTCCTTCACGGAGTCACTTGTTGTTAGTATATTCTCGATAGGGTGGCGAGCTTCGGCTTTGCCTTGTCCTTGACGGAGCAACCTAGATTCTTGTCGGTTTGCCTCTTATTCCTGAAAGAGTGGCGGGCTTCGGTCTTGTCTTGTTCTTGACGGAGGAAAAATCCGGACTTTGGCAAGACCGGGGTCTTTTAGAATACCTTCGGTGCGGGTATTCTATAGACTGCTTCCCACTTTGCAACTTGCTTCTTCTTTCTCTCCATCTTAGTTATTCTGTATTGAATGCATTCTTCTCTCTTAAAGATCTGGCACGTGAAATCCTTTCCCTCTCTAAAACTTAAAGTTTTAGGGCATCAATTGTGATGCAATCAGTTCTCCTCTTTCGTACTCATTGCCCCCAAAATCATCTTTCTGTCTCTACGTTGCAACATTATTACCCTTTCTTCCTTATTATCCACCATGGCTTCTTCCTTGGTTGATCCGCAGGAACGCGCTCACCTAAGAGACAAGTACAAGAAAGCAGTGCGGTCCATCGTCTATAAGCTCCAGTCTCAGTCTAAGCCTACCTACACGTATACTGAGCTAGCTCAATTCCGAGTCTCCGTCCAGTCTATCGATCCAGAGGATCACACATTCACCGATTCGGAGGCTTGTCTCTTCCGGCCACTTACCCATGAAGAGCTTGAAACATTCAAAATGGACAAAGAAGCACTCCCTAGGGACGGGTATCACTATATCAACGAATTCAAGGACACTTTGCTGATGTTACAGGCGATGTTCCCGAGGATTGCCTCATGTGGGAGAGAGCTGGTCAAATTGCCTTCTATCTTGAAGTCTTTGAGTCACGGGCTGAGAGGGAGGACGGGAGGGAGGAGGGGGGGAGGAAGAGGAAGAGGGGAAGATCGATCTCCTCGATACAGGACCTTTCGCATTGGAATAATATCAAGTGAGTCTCGTTCTATTCTTAATGACTACGTCGCTAACATAGGCTATTAGGGCTGAAAATTCTTTCAACGATACTCCAACAGGAATGTTATGCGGTGTTAAAGCTGGACATTCAAAGCCTCGGGATGTTCCGAGATGGACCGCCCATTCTATCCGCCAATGGCTTGACGATTTTAAGGATCCGAAGACCACTCGCCCTCACATCAAACTTGTGACTCTCACTGGTACAAAGGCTAAAGAAAATGAACTACAACATAGCGAGTTAGCGTCTATTGCAAACACCCTCTACTGCCGTCTCGAACAGCCAGAATTCGGAGATACCTCATTCTTCCCAGTTCTCGTCATCTCGCTCTTTGGGCCAAGGCACGGCCGTCTCCTACAAGCAAAGTTCGACAATTCCGGTACCTTACTTGTCCGATCCTCGCCGATCTACAATTTTGTAGATAGCAATGGAAAGATGGAGCTTTTCGTTCGCTACAACAATTGCAACCCCCGAGATGGTCCAGAAATAGAGCCTGTTCTGGCTGAAGAGCAGTCGCCATCTCCTCGCGTTCAGCATCAAGCTCTCCCTCCGGCTTGGACAAAGAAAACCTTGACCCTGAAAAATGATTTCTGGCTATTAGATTAGAAATGGTTCCCTGGTAATACAAAGACAACGTTAATCCTATTGCGCAATATTGCGAACCTAAAGCGCCCTCCTAATAAGTACTCAATTACGCTAGATTCCTACATGAGCGAGCCTCAATGTTCTAAAGTCCAAGCGTACGATTATGATATTCGAAAATTCGTGAAGATTAGCTGTGAGGAGATCAATCGTAGGCGATCTGCATGTCACTTAGAATGAAAAGCCGGCTCTACAAGGGAGCACATCATTCTTCAAGCAACACTCATAACACCGACCAATCAACGTATCTAGCTAGATCTACCTAGTGTTCCTATACCTAGACACGGACCTCTTTCTGGAGCTGAGCTGTATTGCGCAGCAAGCAATGATCATACTTAGCAAGGCTCTACGGCGGGTATGCTCTCAAGCAATCGACCATTGTAGTGTACCTCCACTCCAACATATCATTCGCAGTTCGTTCGTTCGGACATTAGGTCGAGAGGATCGAGTCCGTTAGCGAGCGTCGTGGGAGAGGGAGGTATTAGTACTGGTGGAGAGAATCTTCACGGTCCTTCCCAAAAGGGAAGGTGAAGGTAATGTCGTGCAAGACGTCAGATAAACTGAAGTTCGTAGATAAGGAAGACGTGTAGTGCTCCTGCCTATGTTCCCCCTGGGGCTCTTTCCCTTTCCTTTCCTTTTTTCCCTCTTCTCCTATTCTCCTATCATCTTATCATCTTATCATCTTCCTTCTACTCGCCATCGCCATGTCTCAGAAAAGAAAGACTCCCGTAAGTCTCATCTTTATTGATGACCATGTCGTGTGGTCATCCCATGTCCTCACTCAATATGTGAATGAACACTGACAACCGTGCCAGGCCACTGCCCCCAGCGCCTCCAGCGCTCCCAGTGCTCCCAGCGTCTCCAATGGCCCCAATGCCCCTACCACTGTAAGCACTCAATCTTTGAGATGATTTAATGATGGGGAGATACATTGATGCGTACAGTTCAAAAAAGTGGGAAAGCGTTAGCGCCCCCGAGGAGGAAAAAAGATCAGAGGTTAGTCTCACATTATCATGGCTGAGACCACTCGAGTTGGACAGAAAGCTTACCCATAAATACAGCAATACTTTCGAGGGAGAAAGGTAAGAGCTCTGTCTGCCGCGGCCAGTATCAAGAGAATGAGAGGTACTAATAGTACATCTAGCCGCCAAAGAGCTTAAAGACGCCCTCGCCTCTGCTGCGAGCGCTGGTTCTGCTGCCGGCACTGGTGAGTATCCCACGACATATTAATGTTGTCTATCCCTATATACCAGAAGCAATACTAATACATTCTAAGGAGAATCCTCCACTGCTCCTCCTGTCGCCTCCCCTTCGACCGACTCCCATACTGTTGCCTCGCAGGCACCTCCCCCGGCCATCACTACTCCAGTAGTAGATCCTCCTGCCGTGTCCCCCTCCATGCCCAGTAAGTTGTATACCCTCGCATTCTAAATTATGACCCCTTCCTCCGTTGTTCGCTTAGGAGGAAGCATCTCATCTCCAGTAGAAAATCGACTGCAGGTCTTGCTGAGGAGCAATGCTAATATTCGAATAAATATAGGCACCACTAGTGCAGTAGTCCCCACGGTGGGAGCTGCCTACCGTATCACTCCTGCTTCGTTGGTCCCCGGGTTGGAATTAACGAACGAGGAAGTAGAAGACCTGTCTGGGTATTTACCCAGTGTTATTGCTACCTTCATCCAGGACCGTAGGGTTACCTTGGAGGTACCCTGGGATTTGTGGGCCTAGGCAAAGAAATCAATATTCATTCGTGTGTCCACAATTCACTATTACTACTTATTATAATACGAAGGAACGTCTCCTTCCAGCGAGTGGTAGCATCCGCAGTGGTCCTCAAGCCAGGGAGCATCCTTGATAAACTGCCTAAACCCTAGTAAATGACCTTGGATCACACTGTGGAATTGTGTGATAGGGAAGGCTCCAGAACTCCAGAACTCCTAAGAGCTAAGAGAATCTCCCCGCAATTTTTCCCATACAAGGTATATGATATACTCGCCGGGGACAAGGTCGTTTTTGTCTTGCTTACCGATTTGATACCCAAAGAGTTTAGGGGTAGCAGTGCAGCTATAATGACAAGGCGATTGACTTTAGTACTATAGCCAAAGTCCCTTGTTTTTCTTTGCTCCTCTGTCTCTCTATACTTCGTATTTTAGTTGAAATGCACTTATTGGGGACTGTGAGCTTCTCTGCCAGGTCCCAGGATGTTAAAAGTAAAACTGTTGAAGATTGACCAGTAATTCAAGTTGGTGCCTGACAAGATCACCTAATTTTTCCTATGGCATTGAACCAGGCTTTACTTCAATGAGGAGTAAAAAAAAATGTAGAATTCAATGATCTTCAAAGAAAATAGCTAATAGTGGCTACAGAGCCCATGCTTCGAGTCCTCGGCCAAGCCGCCGTTCATCAACAAAGTTCTTAATGATCTCGGGGAGGAAGCTAGCTAGTTCCTCCGCCTCTTGGTCACTTAGTGGGAATCTCGGAATCAACGATGCGAGTGTCATCTGGTGGGCGAGGCCCACGGTGAGGACAATCAAGGCAGTACTGTCTATTTTTATTCAAATATTAGCGTCACCCCTTAACAGAACTTGCAAGCCAAAAGAATATGACAGGGAGTTGGCCTATATTGGTCGACTGCCGCTGTAGTGGAGATGCTTCCTCTCAAGAGACTGGCGGAGGAAGGGCTCGGAATTTGGAATGCGAGGGTATTCAACTTACTGGACGCGGAGGGGGACACGATAGGAAGAGCTACTATTGGAGTAGCTATAGCTGGGGGAATCGGCGGAAGAGGTGATAGGAGGAGTCTATTTGGAAGATATTAGTATTGCTTCTGATATATAGGGATAGACAACATTAATATGTCGTGGGATACTCACCAGTGCCGGCAGCAGAACCAGCGCTCGCAGCAGAGGCGAGGGCGTCCTTGAACCCCTAGGTCCTTGCATCCTCCTCTTCGCTTGCACGGAGAGCGACGGCCAGGGCTAGCCTGGCAAAGTACCAGACGTATGTCTTTTCAGTGATAAGATATGGACCATATAGGCGAAACGAGACTCATTCGATATTATCCCAATGCGAAAAGTCTGTCTTGCTTCAAGGAGCGCTTTCCCGGATCACCCTGCATGTATTGTCTATACCCGTCCTTGTAAGAGGCGTTGAGCAGGTACAGCTCAGATCCAGTCTGAGAAAAGAGCGTCACCCTAATAGTTATATCAGTATAGAGACTCAAATACAGTGATATCACTGCATAGGCTTACCTGTCCTTGGGAAGGGATGCGCATTTAACAGGGCTGTAACCAGTTCCATAGTCTCCTGCCAATAGACATTCAGTTCATGATTGTCACGCATTAGAGCTTTCGCTTCGAGGATTGATTGTGCTCGAAAGGTTGACTTCGACTTCAGGAAGCCGTCTACCTGGCATGACAAGCTGAAGACGTCCGATCTAAGCTCTCCGTTTTCCTCGTCATTCTTGACCTTCTTGAAATCGAATTTTGGCGTGGTAACTTGAGGCCTTACTAAGGTAAGCAACTTCACACTGCTTCATATGAAATTAGCATTGGAAGCGCGCGGGAAATAATGTCTGGCCTTCACCTCTCAACGTAAGGGTTTGGCGGGCTTAGGGTGATGTAGGAGTGGGGGAACATTCTCCAATGTCGACTGCCCATTCTTCAATGGTGACAGTCGTCTTCCCCCTCCGAGCGATTCTTATGGTTAATGCGACTTTGACCTCCTGGTCTGACTAGTTCGGCCAGAATAAAACATCTTGCTTCAATTTAGTCAATGATTCAGACCACGCTGATTCCTGTCACTATCCACATCAGAGTGCTTCGCGCAGACTGCTTGTAAGAAAATGACAAGTGAAGCATTCACAAGCTCCTCATTCTTGTCATAGGCCCTCTCCTCACTCGTAGGTACCAAGTACGGTAATTGGTTCACCCGTTGCTGTTGGTTGTAATCTCAGAAGCAGAAATTCCTCTTCGAATATCTTAAGAGCCTGATTTGAACGGGTCTCTGGTGTGGATGCTCGTCCTCAATGTGGCCTCTGCTCTCTTGGCTGCTTTTTTCCATTGCGTGATATCAGAGGGGATCGGGGTCGACTGATTTGGGGGCATTCCCGAAAAATTGGATGCAATGTTGATGCTGTGGGATTGACAGTTGCCACTTGCGAGAACGAGGAGAGAGGATGTTCAGGGGAAAAGCGACGGGGGAATGAGTGGGTTAATATAGAGGGACATAAATGTTTGCTAGGTGGTTCCAGGCTTCTTCCAATTCACTGCCATTATTAAAGTATTTATCTCAAAGTAAACACTACCCCAGAGCTGGTACCTAGTAGATCTGAGGTATCACTCACTTATTCCTCACTTGTTCTTCACTTGTTCTTCGCTCTTCCAGCCCACCTTTATAAGAGCAGGTTAGAAGTTAACTTCGATATATCAACTTGCAATAAAGGAATCAAGTTTGTTTTAACTTGAATAGTATTCCAATTAAGAACACAGTCTATGGGATATCAATATTAGAAACAAAGACATTGGTAGCATTAATCAGGAAGATACCATAAAACGCCATGACCTGTACACCCCGGAACACCAGATGTAAACATTAAAATCATATCCTCTCAGCCAAAGAGATACTTCCGCCAGCTCTGTTTCCAAGGCTTCCAAGTCCCCCCAAACCGATGGTTAATACAAGCTTGTTGACTACTGAAGCCCTCGGATCCAGAATGCCGCTGTCCATTACCCCAAGCGTTAACAGGTAGAACACACAGCCCTCCCATTAGCTTGCCAGGCTGAGTCTCTGAACTCTCAACACAGAGCGGCTCTTGAATCGCGTGGAAAGGCGCCCACGTCACACGCTGCACAGACGAAGCCGAGGACGAGAACCCAGCGTCCGCATCCACAGACTGTTGTACTAACCGATGTGTAGATGGCAATGTATCCGACAGCACATCGAGAATAGCATCTGTAAACACGCCGGGGCCGGTGATCTCCATCGTATCCATTTCGTTGTATCTCCTATTCCAGAAATGACCCTCGTCGACTCGCTGCTTCGTATGGGACAACACACGGACGATGATCTCTCTTAGTAGCGGACTAAACCGTTGTGGCGCATAAATTGAGTATTGGATGAAGCCGTAGCGTCGGGCCCAGTGCCAGTCGCGCATCTTCTGCGGCGAAGCGAATGGCTCGTCGATTTCAATTCCGACAACTAGCGACACATTCGCGTTAACCGTGTTGGCTTTGAAGATGGAGTCGCGCAGTGACGGGCATGATTTGATGCTTCGTGCGGGATATATGTCGAGGTCTGCGTAGTAGCCGCCGTAGTACCATAGAATCAAATAGCGGAGGAGATCGCCGCGGTGGACGGAGTGTGGGTATGATTTGTAGAGTCGAGCGATGTCTGGGATGGATTCCAGAGTGTCGAAAATGAATTTGTCAGCCCAGTCGGCTTCTATCAGCTGTAAATTGTAAAGTTAGTCGGTTGACCTGGTATAATCAAGATATGAATTGTCTGTTGTCGGTCTTACTTTGTATTTCCATTCTGAATTCTTTTCCTCGAATTGAATTGAATCGTCGCTTCGCTGGCTGACTCCTGGTAGCATAATCTGCCACAGTGTATGTGTTGCATCCTCATCGTGTCGCATTTCCCTTTCTATCTCCATGGCGCGAAGCGCATTAGAGAGCTTGAGCTCGTAGTCATGGTCTGGGTTCTTGCGAAATGTAGACTGGTGAAGATACCGCGGTCGGTCCTCCCCGTACAGCTTCTTGGTGTGGGGATCGAGCTTGGATGTGGGCACAGACTTGAAAAGAATAAATAGAGTTAGAATCGCAGCCACCAGGGCATATTTATGCCGGTTTGGAAACCCCAGAAACACGCGATTTCTCATGGTGAGTGGTGAGAGGACTAGCCATGACAAATAAGAGACCGTTGAGGGGTGAATTTTCTTTGGGCTATCAGTCTAAGCCCCCAAACAGACCCCGGGAAGGTCTCATTTCATTGGTTTTGCCTGATTGGTGTAACTGCGATGGACCCTGGAAACTGAGTTTGGGGGGTTCACTGGTGTTAATTGCGATATTTGGGGAGATTGAGGTAAAGAGGACTTTGTAAAGATATTTGAATGCTTGTCTGTTGTCTGTGATTCCAGATCCATGTCCAATTCTAAGAAAGAGAGAACATTTGCACCGTCGACCTTGTTCCCTGATTGTTTGCATGTGGGGCTGACCGCCCGTGTATGTCTTGGCACTCCCAATCAGGAACTATAAACCGATAAGGCACGAGAGTCCAGAAAAGCTTGGCTACAACATAGTCGTGCTTCTATACATCTAAGTGTCAACGAATTTAATTATTTGGATAATACATTTAGAAACGCGTGAAGCCAATAACTATTACTATTTAGTTTATTCTTTCGTTCTTTCAATTCTTTTAATAGCAAACAGTACTGGTTGAATTGAGAATCCTCGATTCTCCCATCTTCAACACCCAAAACATGTAAACTCTTCGAGCTTCGAAATCACGTGCCACAAGAGCTTAGAAACAGTACTTTTGAGCTCGTTTAGATGGTCTCTGATCTCTTTGTGACTGTGGTTCGCCTTTATCATCATGTGTACCAACCCATATGCCTTCTCTTCCACAGAGATACCAAGCCCTACAATCGTATGTCTGACCTCCAATCAGCAAAATATGAGACAAGCATAAACTGACAGTATTATTTAGCACTATGGCAAACAACAACGACCAAAGCAGCGCCACGGGTGCACTCTCAAGACAAGTTGCCAGACAAATCAGGCAAGCCCGAGGGCATTCCACAGGACGACCGGACGCAACAAACGCCCACCAAGCTACCTCATTTCGCAACCCTATCCGACCTGGCATGGCCAGCAGCCGCTTTGCCACTTTTACAAGTGAAGACCAATCTGAGCCCGCGCCCGATCCAATGGACATTGATCCAATGGAGATCGGCAGCCCTCCTCCCCAACAGGCTCAGCCTGCACCAACCACCACCCTGACTCGCATAAACGAGCAGGCTCAGAACAGTGGCATGCACCGCCAAAAGTTTTACCTCTCCATTGGGCCCCGTCCTATGCCAACTCTGGACCTCGACGTGCTGACCGTCGCTCGCGCTGAAGTGACTCGTCTTCAGAGAGCGGGACTGCCAGTTCTGGAGTCCCTGCCTGAGCGAGCTGGTCCGCATCTCTACATCCGTATTGATACGGGTCAGGCGAGCCGTGATCAGGCACTCGCTCGTGCTGATCTTCGAATGGGTATCATGCAGGACATGATACGGGACGGCTTCGGCTGGTTCTCGGGTCTGCCTTACCGCCACCCGCATTTCGAGGTGAAGTTCCTCCGTGGTCCACGCCTCTAGATTGAGGCTGTGTGACTGGGTCAATGAGACCCATAAGCTTTTTGGGGTGAGAAGTGGGATGGGGATTTGCTCCTGCTTCTCCTCCGCGTTCTTACATACGGATAGCCACAAATGATATTCTTAGTGATTTTGCTTTCACCTGTAGATCATATAGGCCTCAAATATTTATCTACTGTACCTAGGCTACTGGTTAGAATAGAGTAATCAGTGAATTTCGAGTGATCCCAAACACTATAGTCTCATAGTTTCATAGCCTCAATAACTCCACAACAAACTCCAGCAATGCAATTCCCATTCAATCCCACCAAAACAAAATGCAACCCTTACTTGTCAACCGGACGCAAAGCCAATGTAGTCTTCCTCTTCTCACACCCCTGCCAAGTCCGCTCAACGGCCTGGATAGTAGGCCAGACCTGCTCACGAGCATCCTTCCGACTGACGCCCTCCTCAAGCAACTTCTCATACGGCGTATGAACATGTCGAATATGCGCCTCCACAGCCAATAGCGTCTTTCGATCGTCGCTGATCATCCCTGTCCGCCCTACACGCCCCGATCCCTTGAGGAAGGCATGTTCCAGGACGATTTTGAGGGTTTCCTTGGGCATAAGCGGGAATTCACTCTTCAAGAGTTCTCGGGATTTGGAGAGATCCTTAGCGTCACGCACTTGCACGGCGTTGGCGCGTGATTCTTTTGTTGCGGCGGCTGATTCAAGAACTTCTGTATAGATTTCTTCGGGCACTCGGATTCCCAGAGTTCTTTTGCCCGTGCGGTTCTGGGGCTGTTAGCGGTCCTTCTCTGGGCTTGAAACTGATGGTTCGAATGAGCGCTTACGTAGACGACATATACTATTCGCTCGGACTCTTTGGTCTTACTGCGGCAGTGTCGAGTGATGTATACATCACCCTTGGGGACTAGAACGTACCCATCTGGCAAAGGTACTTGCTCAACAATATTCTGATTCAATGTTTAGCGTGATATCCTTCTATATCAATACAGCTCAAACTTACCCTTTCGAGGGGATCATCGGAGACAGGAATGAGTGCGGCCCATGTTTTCTTGGGTTTGCGACGCTTTGTCTTCTCGTTGAGTACTTCGGCAAGCGGTTGGGCCGGCGAGCCTGCGTCTATCGGACGTGCATGGCCTTCGCGAGTGCGGACACCACGATTCTTCTTTCTCGCACGTGGCTTGCGTTTGCGAACTTTGGGTTTAGTGGTTGGTGCCATGTTGGGTGTTCATGGAGCCAAGGAGGTGGATGAGTTGATGGTTGACACTGTTAAGATGCGACCACATCGATTCCATTGAGCGAGGGGTTCTGGCAGTACTGAGATCTGATTGTCATTCAATGTTATTTTTGGACCTGAAACAATTGCGGGTCATTGATACTTCCACGGTTTACGGTCAAAGCAGATCAGAAACTGTGGCTGTGGCACTGTGGCTGTGCGAAGCCGAGGTCATTTTGATGCTTAGATAATCAGGCCTTGAATCTAACCTTGGAAGAATCTGGCTACTACAGCTATTACTACTTTAGACTCGATACATCTATCGACCATTATGCGTACAGACATATGTCATCGTATGTTCACATCACATGATATGTTTTCCAGGACTGCCTACCTTCCTTACCTCTCAACCCTTGTCGATGAGATATGTATGTAAGTCTGATGGATTTCGAAAGTGCGAAAGTGGTAAGAGTTTCTTATACACAGTCACCAGGCGGTAAACAATCTCCACGCTCTTTCCTTCTGAAGACTTCAACTTTAGAAGGCAAACATATTCAATTTCCAGGGCTCTCGCTTGCTCTACTCCGTACTTCTACTCCCCTCTAACTTCCAAGGTTCTAACTGACTTGTCTCCTACTTCCATGCGATTCCTAGGTCTGGCTCTAGTCGGCTTAGGACAACAGAAAGTTGGATTGCGGTATCTAATAGGCTTTGTCCAACGTTTATTGGGTAGATTATATTCACTACTCTTCCTTGGATGAAATAAGTACGTACCTCTGTATTAAAAGGCCTATTCTTATCAAACGGGAATATAATGATTAACAAAAGCGAGCTTGAATACCAGTGAGCATTAAGATAGGTAACTATCTAATACAGAGAGTAGGCATCTCTAGGCCAATCGGCTGGCACAAAATGTACCTAACGAACATCTCTACAGGCCCCTTGTGTGGATCTTCAAAGGTCCATGATTGCGAATGTTGTAAGTTAGTTATCCTGGGTTGTGGCTTGGTTTGTCAGGTAACTCTTTTTCAATGGCCCGCTAATTTTGCCAGAAAATCAACGACTCGGACCCCCGCTGCAAGGCTCTTAAGTGTGACTACCTCGCTATATAGTGAAACCACATAAAATATTTGGAACACTGTAGCCCTGGAGTCCGGGGGCTCACATATTGGCATCCTCTTTGGGACTAGCGGACCCAGACGAGAGCCTCACAGATGACGTACTCATCTCTACCAATCATAACCCACCGGTCCCAGATGCATGTAGCCAATCAATATTTGATTTCCCTTTTGAGAACTATTATTCAGTCGCAATGGCAATGGCGTGGGCGGGGTCTGACTCAGTCGACTGGTGAGTAATTGCAGGGCCATGAGCTTGGAATTAGAAGCATGAGTGTTTTGCTAACTGTGCTATTCTGCAATAATTGAATATTGGCTCTCCGTATTAGGAATATATAACTGGCTCCAATTCTGCATCTTAGTTAATAACTACTTAAATGTAGCAAAATACATACAATTACCTTGGAATGGAAGTGAAACCCTATGCATAACCCATGGACCACGAGATAATATACTTTTGTGTACTCCGTGAGCAAAATCGGCAAACAAAAGTCTAGTAGCTACTAGTACATATATGGATGTATCTTCATAATATTGGTACTTCTCTTCTCTCTTCTCACACTTTCATATCTCTAACACACCTATACACACAAACCATGGCCTCCAGTGACACTTGGATAAATCCTCTCGTTCGATATCGAATACATCAGCATTCGCCCAAGCAAGAGATGGAAGAATATCCGGATATTGAGTCAGGGCAGTTTGACGACATTGATGCTAAATTTGGCGCTACCTTGAAGGGTACCATTACCGTTCTCGAATATGACAACTATCGTACTCGCAGGAAGAGTACCATTTCGATGTTATCAGATAATCATCCTCCACCTCGAATATCGAGATTTTTGAAGATGCGTGTATACTGGGCAAGATTGCGACATTGGTGACTTGGAATAATGGGATTACAACTCGGGATGTAGGGATACATCCTACATTTGGTGGCCGTTCCTCTTATACAAGATGTTTCTCAGTCTCATTGTCTGGTTGCGTTATTTTTGTATATTATTAAATTTAGTCTTAATCTCAGTGCAAGTCCATACTGACGGTGATGCCTGATATTAATAGTTCCCAGGTGCTCCCTGGACCCTAGAGTTGATTACAAACGTGACAGTATGAACTAATATTCGTAATAAGTCACATTCGCTGCTCTGCAGATGGAAAAAGATAAATGTACAAGACAATATGGTACAACATAGAACAACAGTGGGTATAATACAAGTCTGGTAAAAGAAACCAAGCCGATTCCAGACCCAACAAGGATAAACAAGAAGATAGTAGGCCATGCCATGGAAGGGCTCGTAGGGGAAGTGAAATGAGAAGCACAAACTAACAGTTCAAGCGCCGTACATCCGCACATCCTCTGCGTCAACTTCCTCACGGCGGCGGAGGAACGTAGCCTCCTCGAAGTCATCCATGTCCATAATGGGCTGTTCAATCTTGCTGTGTCGCACAGCAAGGATACGGCGACTTTGGCCCAAATTCGGAGACAGGATGGTTCGTCCGCATGAGTTCTCGTTCCAGGATCCGAAATTGTTGGATGATTCATCAACATCCTCATCGACCAGAATGTCACCATCTAATTCCAAAGCCCGCTTTTGACCGCCCAAGGCAAATGACACAGCCGAGTCTTGGCTGCTTGATGGGATCGAGTATGCGTCGCCATCGTCGGTAACGAGGGAGTCATCGTGGCTGGAGGATTTACCAGTGCCGGAAAAAGGTGACAGCTCAGAGTATCTGCTGCCGTGGTAGGGTTGAGCACGCGGGGTTTGACCGACAGCTGTCGAGAGTGGGGCCTTTTCTTCTGTCTTGGACATGTTGGTTCTATAACCGTCTGCGACGGATTTCCGAACCCGCATTCCGACAGACAGAAGCGATGACTGAACTTTGGCAGGCACAACCGGGTGGGCAGAGAATGTTGCTGCGGCGTAATGGTGGTGGTGTGACACCGCAGGTGTAGCTGAAGACACTGGTTCCGAGGCGGATGTGAAGAACGTTGTGATAGGAGGTTGGAAGCGTCGTCGCTTTGACAAGTCGCTATTGCTGGGTGCCATGTTGGAAAAGGGATATGCGGTTTTCGATTTCAATATGGGAGTATTCTCAAAATGCCCACGAGTGAGTGACGTAGTGTAGTGGGAAAAGGGAAGAAAAAGAAAAAAGGACGAGGCTGCTCAGGCAACGGGGACGCCACTTAACGCGGTACGCGTTGATCAACGCATAGTACCCCCACTAATATCGCGTCGTGGAACCAATCGAGCACCTTTAATTAATCTTTACTTTATACGATGGAGTATAATCATTGATAGGGTTATGGCTGTCATAAGGTAGTATATGCTCTTTATGGTCTATCCTGTGAGCCTCGTGCAATGACAAAAGTAATGTACTGTATATAACAAATCATTATTTTTAAGAAAAACGGACATAAAAAGCCTATCACTGGCCAACGTTTCCTCTCCGTCCGCCTCTCTTGCCACGATCGACGTGAGCCCGAAGCACAGCACGGGTCTCCACCAAACTTCTCTTGTTCTTGCTGCGCGCCTTGCCCAACGTCATGAGGAAGTTCTTCTTGCGAGCCTTTTCCTTGTTGGTAGAACTCTTTCCTTGCTCCACCTTGCGTTCCTTGCGACGAGCCTCCTTACTCATATGCTCAGTCTTGCCCTCCTTGGCGTGGGCAATACGTTCCTCACGAGTGGCCCTGGCGGCAGATAGAGCAGCAAGACCCTCAATCTCACCAGCGGTCAATGGGTCATCGGTATGGCGGGAGGTCCATGGGGCAGCGACGCGGCCCTTGTTGCCCGGAAGAGTGGCTTCGGCTGCGGCCTGAGCACGAAGCTCCGTAAGTTTGGCGAGATCAGCTGGGGTGAGGATGCGGGTGGTGGCCAGTTTCATGAAATCAATGGGTTTTTCGGCTTCTTTTTCGGTGTCCTTCTTGGTCTCTTCGTCCTGTTTGGCCTTCTTTGATGCCGGCTTGCCTTCATCCTCGGAATCACTCAGTACAATGTCAACATCTTCCTCCACATTGATCCATTCTCCGTCGACATCGCTGTCCTCGTCCTCTTCGACGTTCCAGGCTGCCCAGTCGGCCTCGTCGTTCTCCTCTTCGTTATCTTCCGCATCAGATGGAAGGCCATTCTCGATGTTCTTCTTGCGACGCTCCTCATCTTTCCACTTAGCCAAGAGTTCCAGACCCTCAATTTCGCCGGCCTCCTGCTGACCGTAACGTCTCTCTGGTCTCTCACCAGCACGTAAACTCATCGAGGCCTCCTTGCCACGGTCACGCTTCTTCAGCATCTGCGCACCAACATCACGGTACAGACTGAGGAGACCCTTGGAGGCCATCATGACACCCTTATCCTTACTCTTCTTGTACATGACGAGATCCTGCAACAGGGTCTCATCAATAGCCAAAGGCTGTCTAGCACAAATTTCACGGATGGCATTCAGACCAGCCGTGGCGACTTCACCGGCAGATGCTTCGGACACGAACTCATTTGCAATCTTCTGAATCAGAGGCTCGAGAACATCAGGAGGCACCAAGTCGTGCGAGGCTTGGGCTAGAGATGCCAGGAATGAAGTCACAGAAGGTTGGCGGGGCGTAAGGTACTTTTGGAAGTAAGAGTAGAGCGGCATGATGTGCAACTTGTGCAAGCCGACCAGGCGAGAGACCAGCTGTAGCACCTGAAGCTTTTGCTCCAGATTCAACTTAGACTTGCTGTTCTGGAGATGCTTGAAGAACATGTTATCCGCGAATCCTTGGGGATCGTGAAGCAAATGAAGCGCGGAGAAGTTGAGAGGATTGGGATTTCCCTTCTTGCGCTCCTTGTTCCTGACCGCTTTGATGGCCTTTTCGGCGACACGGGCCTTCTTTCGGGTCTTCTTATTGATGGTAAGTTGATGCTTAACCTGGCCAACACTGACTTCTTCTTCACTGTCTTCGTCCTCTAATTCCTCGCGCTCCTTATCGCCACCGAGGAAGAAACGGACTCCACCGATGATGACCTTCTCATTTTGTGACAAAGCTGCCTCCTTCATGATCTCAACGGCCTTAGCCTCCGTCCAGATTTGGCGCTTCCATAGCTCTCTGGTGATCTTGATCGCCCACAGGCCTTTAGCCGATGTGCGGTCTGATGTGACCAAGTTGAATAGAACTGTTTGCATAGTCCGGTTCAACTTGTGGTTAGTGGTCTTTGCATTTGCGGTTCGTAGCTCAGAGAGGATCTTTTGGAAGAGCAGAGCCCGCAGGGTCTTGCTAGGTGTAGAGATGAGGATGGGGAAGAGAGTGTGAAGTAGCCTAGAGTAGTGGTTAGGATCGAAAGTAGGGAAGTAATGAAAGGGTCTTCGCACTTTGCTGAATCTATAAGATCCTTCTTCTTCAAAAGCGCTAAACTTCCAACCAGCTTCTCCCGCAACTCTGTCTCCAATACCAGGTGGTGCTGCATGAGCATATCAATGAGCTGTTGCGGGAAATCCTTACAGATGCCCGGGTAACAGTCGGCCACATGAGAGATGAAGTCAATGAGATCCCGAAGAGAAATCAGACCGGTGTCCGTAGCAGATGTAGGCGCCGCCATGAAAATCTCACGATGGGATTCATATTGGTAATGTTGGGCGCGAAAATCCTCGATATAAGACCTGAAAAGCAAAGCGATAATTAATCCCCGACCGTGTACAAAATAGCATAGGGAACTCTGCATATAACTTACTTAGGATCTCTGCGAATCTTGTGCTGCAAATTGGGCCTGCGAATCGCAAAAAAAAGATGTTAGCATCACGGACTGAAGCCTCTGACCAATTGATCAGGGCGCATCGGGTCAGACATTTACGTACAGGTCAGCCTCGACCTTTTCCAAGGCTCCCAGCTTTCTTTTCACCATTTTTGGAGTTGAAAATAAGAATGTGGTGGTTGGGGAGGGTATGTTGGAGGTCCGAAACTTTTTTTCTCCGTATTCGCCGTATCGATAAGCGATGAAAAATCTCAACCTTGGCAATATCTGATTTGGCTAGAACTATCAAATCATAAACATTAAGACATTGGATCATGTTGATCGTATATTCTTCTACAATCTCTATGCTAGACTTGCTAGATCCATTCAAAAACGAGAATAAAAGAAATTTTTTCTTTTTAGGAAATAGGTCTTTACGACCCAAGGTCTTCATGATCGCATCACAACTACAAAGAAAGCCGTCCGAATGCGTTCCCTTTTAAGATCGTGCTTCCTCCTTGACTGTATCACATTATGTACAGCCTTGCAGATGCATGCGAATCCACTGAATCCCGGTTAAAACCCCGTCCACTCCAGTATACGCAGACAGAGGACCAAACGGAGAACAAATCCAACACAACCCCTTTACCGGTTGCTCTTGGCAACACGCTCGAGCTCATCCTTCTTCTTGATAGCGTAGGAGTTGGAAGAACCCTTGGCGGCGTTGATCAGCTCCTCAGCAAGGCACTCAGCAATGCTCTTGATGTTGCGGAAAGAGGCCTCGCGAGCACCGATGGTGAGCAGAGAGATAGACTGGTTCACGCGACGGAGGGGAGACACATCGACGGCTGGAAGGGAGTTAGTATTTGATACCAGACATGGCGAGACAAGACTTTTTCACATACCCTGGCGACGGACGGTACCCTGGCTACCGATACGGGTGGAGTCCTCACGGGGACCGCAGTTGACAATGGCGTCAACGGCAACCTGGAGAGGGTTCTGGTCGGTCATGATGTGAACCTGTAGAATTGAGAATTAGCGTCTGAATTGGATAGTTGAATGGTTGAATTGGTCGGAGTGGCACATACAATCTCGAAAGCGTGGGCGACGATGCGAACGGCCAGAAGCTTCTTTCCGTTGTTGCGGCCGTTCATCATGAGAGAGTTGGTGAGACGCTCGATGATAGGGCACTGAGCCTTGCGGAAACGCTTGGCGGCATAGCGACCGGCAGAGTGGGAGAGGTAGACGGGGGAGCGGATCTGGATGTAGTCGCTGTCATGGCGGGTCAGCACCTCTGTAAACCTGATAGTCGCGCGATTGCCGGTCCTTGTGCGCGCTGTTGATTTCCTGCTGTGTGCGAAAAGAAAACTAGTTCCAAGCCGTGTTGTGTCCCCTCCGATAAAGAATTTCGATATCCCCCTTCCAGTTGTCGAAGTCTTGCCATTCCACCAATTCGACTCGTTCTTTTCTCGCACACAACAGGAATTCACTCGGCGCATAGAGGACCTGATAGAAAGACTCACGTCAGGGAAATATCCCGGATCTCGACATCATCGTAGCTCCACTTGTTGAACAGCTTGATGCTGCCCTGCTCGGCCAGAACCTCCTTGGGCAGGACAGGGAAGGCGGCGACCTCGACGTCCCCGTTGTCGGACATGTTGACTGTGCGGGAGGGGTTCGTGGGAAATTGACCGGGTTGTCGTTTGGTGGTTGAACGTCGATGAGGTTCCGGGTATCCAAGAAAGAAATTGGTGTGCCTCGCTTAGGTTGTGCGGGGGTCATGTGATTAGGGTAGGCTGATAGTGGATATCACCTGATTCATGCCTCGGTGCCTCAGTGCCTGAGGAAGGAAACTTTATGACGATCCACACCCAAATAATCCCAGCCTTATATTGATCGCACTGACTGTCTACTGATTCTACTGAATACTTTTGGGCTTTGATTCCATATCAAATTTACATCTATTCAATTTAAGCCAAAATCCTCCACTGAACACACGAACCTAGCCCCAAATTGGTGTAACTTGGTGTCTCATTCCCAGTAGTTCCGAGCCTAGACTGGGACACGCGATACACCAAGTCAGACAGTACCTGAACAGCCACAACTTTCATCGGAACTCTATGCAGTAGGCTTGATGGTATAGATGTAGAATTTTCTCGTCACCTTCTATATATATCTGAGACAACCATATCTGGGGGTATATATAGTCTCTCCGTCGCATGTCTCAGGCTCTCGGCTCGTCTGACCGCCTTGGCGGGTGACGTTGCGCGGGTGTCTTGCGCGAAGATCAGAGACAGGACGGATTGACTCGCTGATCGACTCACACCCCGGTAAATACAACCTGCGGCTAT